CAATGACCCCCGGGGCAGGGCCAATTTTGACCCCAGGGCTTTTATTTGAACAAACTTGGTAGACACCCATTAGAAGATGTTTCATGCTGAATATCTTAGCTCTAGCTCTTTGAGTTCTTTCAAAGAAGATTTTGTAAGTTTTTACTATATGCATATAGGGAAAATCAGTGACCCCCTGGGGCGGGGCCAATTTTGACCCCAGGGCTTTTATTTGAACAAACTTGGTACACACTCATTAGAAGATGTTTCATGCTGAATATCTTAGCTCTAGCTCTTTGGGATCTTTAAAAGAAGAATTTTTAAGTTTTTACTATATGCATATAGGGAATATCAATGACCCCCTGGGGCGGGGCCAATTTTGACCCCAGGGATTTTATTTGAACAAACTTGGTAGACACTCACTAGAACATGTTTCATGCCAAATATCTAAACTCTAGCTATTTAGGTTTTTTCAAAGAAGATTTTTTAAATTTTTACTATATGCATATAGGGAAAATCAAGACCCCCCGGGGCGGGGCCAATTTTGACCCCAGGGCTTTTATTTGAACAAACTTTGTAGACACTCACTAGAAGATGTTTCATGCTTAATATCTTAACTCTAGCTATTTGGGTTTTTTCAAAGAAGATTATTTAAGTTTTTGCTATACACATATAAGGAAAATCAATGACCCCCGGGGCGGGTCAATTTTGACCCCAGGGCTTTTTTTTTTAACAAACTTGGTAGACACCCATTAGAAGATGTTTCATGCTAAATATCTTAGCTCTAGCTCTTTGAGTTCTTTCAAAGAAGATTTTGTAAGTTTTTACTATATGCATATAGGGAAAATCAATGACTCCCTGGGGAGGGGCCAATTTTGACCCCAGTGCTTTTATTTGAACAAACTTGGTACACACTCATTAGAAGATGTTTCATGCTGAATATCTTAGCTCTAGCTCTTTGGGTTCTTTAAAAGAAGAATTTTTAAGTTTTTACTATATGCATATAGGGAAAATCAATAACCCCCTGGGGTGGGGCCAATTTTGACCCCAGGGCTTTTATTTGAACAAACTTGGTACACACTCATTAGAAGATGTTTTATGCTGAATATCTTAGCTCTAGCTCTTTGGGTTCTTTAGAAGAATTTTTAAGTTTTTACTATATGCATATAGGGAAAATCAATGACCCCCTGGGGCGGGGCCAATTTTGACCCCAGGGATTTTATTTGAACAAACTTTGTAGACACTCACTAGAAGATGTTTCATGCCAAATATCTAAGCTCTAGGTCTTAGGGTTTTTTAAAAGAAGATATTTAAAGTTTTTTCTTTCGGTTGCCATGGCAACCAGAGTTCTGCATGGAATTAAATTCTTTGAACAATTTTTAAAGGTGACCAAAGGAACATTCCTGTGAAGTTTGGATGAAATTGGCTTAGTGGTTTATGAGGAGATGTCATTTAAAGTAAAAGTTTACGGACGGACGACGGACGGACGATGGACGGACGGACGACGGACGGACGCCTGACGAAAAGCGATCACAAAAGCTCACCCTGTCACTTTGTGACAGGTGAGCTAAAAAGACACACAAGTAAAAACGGAATGAATAGGATTAAAGAGAATTTACCCCAAGTCACACAAGTACCTCTGGGTTCGTACGGACAGACTGACAAGGTGGTGACTATAATTATGCTCTCCCTTCGGAGAGCATAAAAAATACTACATGTTATAAAATATAATACTACATGTAGAAGTTTGCTATAATCACCCAGCAGTATATTTATAATACATCTACTGTTTCTCATTGTTAATCAGGAAAATATTACCAGATGATTCATCCTTAACAGTACATGACATGGGTCATGTAAAAGAACTTCATTGTTGAAACACTTGACAAATATAATCATGTTTGTACATTAGCATACTGTAACATATAAATGTCTGTCTCTGAGGATTCATTACTCTTTTATATAACATTTTTCAATCAAATTGTGAAGATTTTTATATGATCATTCTACAAAAGCAATTATACTGTACAGGCTAGTAATGGTAGAAAACTACTGTCTACAGAAATTGTATTTTCTTATTTTCATATTGAACGGAAAACTTTACATATTGTTGTAGATTAAGCCATTATGAAGATAATCAAGTTTGTTGTCAGTGAAGATAGAACTTTTGTATCCATTACATTTTTAGTAATTATACAGGGGAGACCACTTTGCACTTTGTTTACACAAGGACAAGATATAAATGAGGCAGAAGTTTGTATACTATTGTAGTAAAACTTCCTGGTTTACAGGAAATGCCTCTTGACGCACTCTGATCACTAAATTTTCATTGACATCATTCTAAATATGACAATGTCAGTAAGTGGAAATACTTGATAAGATATGCCACAGTTATTATACATGTTGAATCTACTAGTGAAGTTGTATATACCAGAACTAAAACAACACTTAACATAATGAAACTGTCAAACCACAATATATAAGTTACATCCTTTAGAAGGATAACTATATATTCTCATATACTGAAATAAATTATTTGATAAATTGCCTTTAATTGTCCTGTTTGATTCATTAAGGAAATCTGAGAACAGCTAATAAACATAATTACAATATTCTATATATAGGACACATGTAGATAATAATGGAGAATTCATGTATGAATAGAAATAATTATTTTTTATAATATCTACATGAAGTTTAATATATCCATATCTGTATTATATATTTATATAATTAAGCTACATAAGCCATAAAGTTTTATTGTTGCCCATTAAATGAATTACATTATTATTGCATTTCCTTCATGTACTCAACTATTTTATTAATGATTTACTTTTTAAAATATCAGTTTTTTTACACTAAAGTAAGTTTTGCATCATAGACATTTTATCTTGTTGAAATTGATTTAAAGTGGATTGGTCTACAAAGGGTACTTTTTCAAATATTGATGAAAGCAATAAAAAGTGCCATCTGGATATTCTTACAAAATATTTCTTGAAGAAAAAAGTTTATCTAGTTCTAGGAGATTTAGTATGATCATAATACATTGTATATTATTAGTTATAAAAGTTATATCACCTTTACTAAACAGTAGAACCAAAACAAAGCTGTAAACAGTAAACACGGTTGCTAAAAACATTTGTTTTTAAAGAATTTGCTTGTTTGTCAAAAAAAGAACATTTTTCTCATCATTTTGGCTGCAGTTTCGATACAAAATATCCAAAAAATGTTAGTTCTAGAATTTTTACAAAATATCAACAAATATCTGAGTGTTATAAATATTTGGAGCAAAAAATAAGTTGGGTGTCATTGACCAACAACATGCTAACAAAATGCCTAGTTCAAAGAAATTCTATCGAACAGTTTTGATTTTGCCTGTATGTCTGAATGTAAAGTCCTGAAAAAAACTTTAAGGACCGTAATACTTTAGTTTAAGCAAAAATGATGTAACTAATCAATGTTAGATCAGTATCAATTCAACAGGTCCCAAAACCATACTATAATGTTTATTTACATTAAAAATCCCTTACATTAATTACAGGCTGTTCAATATTAATATTGCAACCAGATGAAATCCTTTGCTGATGCATAAAATATTATTCCCTGCGGTCTCTCTGTGGTACGCGTTTAACTTTTGAGGCATGGAGGAGCACGTGACCTGTTTTCGGTACATGGAGGAGCATGTGATCTGTAAACCGTACATGATTGGTTAATTGACCTTTTCGGAAACCTGGATAAATACCGTTTGCCGGTACGTTACGGATAATCCTCTAGGGAAAAAGACACCTAATTAAGAACAAAAAACTATTACGTGATATTTTTAATTTTCTATAATTATGTTACCGTTTCAGGTGGAAAAACTTGAATGATGTGTTTGAAAATTATCAATGTTTTAATATGTATCTCAAAATGTTACAAACAATAAATTGTTTATACTGAAAATCTACAAAATTAAAATATTCGTAGTGGCATCTGCCATAATAAATACTTGTGTGTTTACTTTATTTTTTTTTTTTTGCTCGGAATTATTCATAAAATGGAAGGCCTATTTAATTATTTTCTTAAAAAAGAAATAATTGTTTTATGTTCGACCTTCTCCGGTCATCAACGGTCACCATTTTCTAAAGACCTTCTTCTATATTAATCGATTACTGTCAACTATATTCCTGATACAAACGTTTATTTATCCTCGCCCCCCCCCCCCCATTGAAAATAGTTAAATGAAATATATTTATATCATTAAAAACGTTGCCCGCAGGAAACCATTTTACTTGTGTTACATATTACAAGGGAAATTACTCAAGCTACTATATACTGACTTTGTTGTCACTAGTTGTCTGTGAGTTTTCATATTCTCACTCAGTGTAAACATTTCTAGACTGTTGGATTTCTATTATAGTCTGGTGAAATTTCTATTGTAAACTGGTGAAATTTCTTTTGTAGAATGTTGAAATTTCTATTTTAGAATGGTAAAAAAAAAGGTAAAATTTTTATTGTACAATGGGGAAATTTCTATTATAGTCTGGTGAAATATCTACAGTAGTCTGGTGAAATTTCTACAGTAGTCTGGTGAAATTTCTATTGTAGAATTGTGAAAAAATATATTGTATTGTGAAATTTCTGTAGTAATCTTGCAGGATTTACATGTATATGAAAATATCTTATTTTCCAAAAGCTGTAATAAAACTTCAGAATTGATATGCACCTTATTTTCAGTTCTCTAAAAAATAACACAGAGACTTGGTGCACCATGTTCTAAACTAAACGAAAGAGTTAGAAATGTCCAAGTGTTAAATGCATCAGACTAGTAATCTAAGTATTGCTAGCTATGTGGGTATAAACTATGTCAGGGGAAGCCATGACTTTATTAAGCATGAAACCTACACTAATTGCTCAGCACAGGTTGTTTGAGGAACAGATTCAAAAGAATATGTATGAGGTTATAGCTACCTACTCTGCCGAACTAAAAACTAACTACAGTTTTTTATCAAAGCCTACATACATATTTATGCTTTATTTACCTGTATTTGGTGCAAGTTTTCCATGTAACCAACTTGTTTGTGAATGTTGAAGTCCATTCATACAATCTGCCATCCTCTTTTGTTCAAATTCATACAATTCCTTTGCATAAAGGTCAAGGTCATAGGCATTCTGACTGCAGGTCATCCAGTTCATACCAAGGTCAAGGTCATTTGGTGGTTTTGGTTGCCATGCTTTGCTACGTAAAGGTGACTCCACATTAGCTTTAACTGCACTGTTCTGTAAATAAAATATACAAAGTGTGTATAAACATTACAAGGAATTTCAAGTTATTCACCTCTAAATTGACCTGAAAATCTTTGAATTATTCACCCTGTCATGTACAGACTAAATCAAATGAAAGCTGTCAAGAAAAAAATCATCAATTCATATATTTTATATATAATTGACACAAAAATATTTATAATTGGCAGGTATCAAAGGAATTTTTAAAGCCAAAATAAATAAAAGAAGTCATTGACATTGTTCAAGTAGATATTGAAATGTTCAACTTCATTATAATTATGTTATTGTCTACACAATATGTCAATCATATGAAATTATTTGTTAAAAATTTACCATCTAAGTTAAAATTGCTCTAGTCTTTCTAACAACAGACATACAGAGATAGGTCAAAGATTATAAGTTATTCTACATTGTATACACAGACTATTATTACTTTCAATAATCTTTGGTTGCAATCTTGTTTATTGTCAACACAAGGGGGAATGAAAATATAACATGCATCAGTTTTATAACAGTGAAATGATATCTAAAAATTATTATCATGCAACACATACCATATTGTCAAACCCACTTGTTTGCCAGCCATAACCACCTTCTATGTTGCCATTTATAGGACAGTTGCCATAGTAACCATTCTGAGAGTTCCAGTTGTCATGGTAGCAGTCTGGAATTGATGGACCAGAATTTCTGTGACATTGAGAAGAATGTGTCTCCAACCTTCTACGATAACTCTCAATTACCTCAAAGAAACTATTCTCCACTGAAAATATACATAATAATATTTCTATCATATTCCAATCATAATAGTTTCAAAATTGGAATGAAATTTCTTTACCTTCAGCTAGTATATTACAATTTAGAAAATCAAAAGTAATCTACCTATATGGGTCCATAAGTATACTTTTAGTATACTAAACAAGAGGGCCATGATTGCCCTGAAATCGCCCACCTGAATATAAAAATCTCCATGAAATTAGGAAAAGTAATATTGTGAACTATAAAAAAGCAGACATAAAATTAAGAAATAACATCGGCCTGAGAGGTGTAGATCAGCTATTTAACACCGGTTTGGAGTTTTGATGCGTAGGAATTGACCACGGCGCATTAAAACTCCAAACCGGTGTTAAATAGCCGATATACACCTCTCCGGCCGATGTTATTTCGATTCTAACACGATAAAATAAGGAAAATCACTAATATTATTTTTTAAGCGGAAATAACTTCCGGTGCCCAATTTTCGTATATTATTAAACGCTGTTCGATTTTCGCACCCTACTGTTGCGAAGATATAGAAATTATCAACAAAAGAAATAATAAGAAAAAAAACGTTATTTTATCAAGTTTTCAACAATAAAAACTTACGTCGTATTGTGTTTACATCAGTGCCCCATTTATCTTTCTTGTATGTATGAAATAACGTCAGCTTGTTTATGAATGAGTTGTTTATTTAGGATGACGTCATTACGCTGCTTACGGATTGGCGCCGTTTTGTCAAAATATTTATTAACTGATATGGATCTAATATGTGGCGTTAGTGCATGTGAGATATTATTTCGGTATTGTATGAAAAGAAAACATTATACGAACTGAAAATATAAATAAAAATGCTTTTTATTGTTGCTTTAAAATGCTTTGTAAACTATACAATCGAGGGTGAAAATATAACAGCGAATATACAAGTAGTCCCTAACCGGTGTTTATTGGCAGTTTAACACCAGTTTTTTTCCTTCTTTGTCTATAGTGACAAAATCACGTGAGTGTTAGAATCTAAATCTTAAACTGATAATAGAAATTCTTTGAACAATTTTCAATTGTGACCACCAAAGGAACATTCCTGTGAAGTTTGGATGAAATTGGCTTAGTAGTTTTTGAAGAGATGTTGGTTTAAAGTAAAAGTTTACGGATGGTTGACAGACGGATGGAGAGAGGCGGACAAACTGCGATCACAAAAGCTTACCTTGTCACTTTGTGACAGGTGAGCTAAAAAGTATGTGGAAGACATAGTTTCCTTGATGTGATTATCAATACCCCAATCAGTCACAGTCAGACAAAGATAAATCAAGAATTAGATATTAGTGTTTTATCAATCAATGAAGTTTTATTGCACATATGGATGCTTTACCCCTTGAATAGAAATGTCAAACAAGCAAATTCCATAAATTGACAATTGCCTCATCGAATTATTCAAATCACTTAATTGCACATTCAGATTCATGTTTCCCCCAAAAATTAAATAGGAAAAATAGCAAAAAGCCAAGAAAATCTTAAATTATGCAAAAGAGAATTTAAGAGAAATAATCAAGCTCTTTAAGAGAAAGCAGTTTTCCTTAATGAGACCTATCAATGTATGAAGTTTCAATTTGATTTCTTTAATCATCTTTCAGTTTAATCATCTTACATAATGCTAAAGAAAATAATGCTTTTTGGACAATGCTTCACCTTATAAGTGCAATAACCTGAATAATTTCTATTTAATTTAGAAGGACTTAACCCATTACTGCACTTACAGGTGACCATTTATTATTTATGTAGTTTTATCGACTGAGATATATCAATGTGTATATCTTTCAACATACTTCTTTAGTTTTGATCCTAGAAATATTAAAAGTGGCCAAATTACAGTGGTCAATAACTCCAAAATCATATTCAAGAGAGCTTTGTTGTAAAAACAGTGTGCTTCTGACCGGCATAAACATGATAAATGAAATAAGTACAACTATGAAATTTTGAGGAAAAATCTCAAATATTTTAAGAGTTATAAACTAGAATCAAATAAATTAAAGAAAAGAAAGGGCAAATACCCTAAAATTATGCAAAATAGAGTTATGGTTCTACATTGGGCTTTTTATATAGGATATATCAATAGTATTGTTCAGTTCGAACTGGCGGGGTTTCTAGCTGACTTCAGTACAATCTAGCTTAAATAATGTTTCAATTAAAATATAAAAAAATCATAATGTTAATTAAATTCAACAATCTCATCCCATTCCTATTTAAAGAAAATTTTGGCTTTTAATATATTTGAGCCACGTCACGACAAAACCAACATAGTGTGTTTGTGACCAGCATTGGATCCAGACTAGCCTGCACATCTGCGCAGTCTGATCAGGATCCATGCTGTTGGCTTACAAACCCTATAACAAGTAGAGAAGCTGATAGCGAACAGCATGGATCCTGATCAGACTGCGCGGATGCGCAGGCTGGTCTGGATCCATACTGGTCGCAAAGCCTGATGATTATGTTGGTATTGTCGTGACGCGGCTCATATGAATACTGTACTGTGTTTTTTTTACAACACTGAAACTGATAATTGATTAAACAGATTCAATTTAAAAGATGAGATTAAAGGGTAACACCCACTGACAGCTGTTGTTCTGTTTTTTGTCTATATGCTGTCAGTTTCCTGTCAGAATAATTATATTCTCTAATGTCAACATTTCATCACTATAGTAAACCATAGTTTGATACACTATCACATTAAACATTCTACAGGGGGTTATCAATGAATGAAAATAAAAAACATGTTTTTTTATCTCTTTATCTTAAAATATGTCTATTACATTATTGTAAGAGGGGATCAGAAAAAATGTACATGTATTAAAGTTTAATACGTTTGCAGGAAATAAAAGCTGTTCCAGTGCTGGATGGTGAATAATTAGTAGAGGGCACTTTAGTTTATTGATTAATTTATGTTTTGTTTATCAAAGGTACCATTGACCTTGACCTTTGCATCTGAAAATTAATAGCTGGTGTAATAGGTAGAACGCATCTGACTCTTGAAAAAAAATGAGTTAAAAAAGAAAAAAAACATTCAAAACAATATTCATTTAGCAGCACTGTTTTGTCAAAGATTGGGAACAAAATAATGCTACATAATAACAAACTGAGAAACTAATTGTACTGATTTATCATAAGTAGATCTGTATGAACCCACTGTCAAAAATTAAATATACAGTATATGTATCTTTTGTTACAATTAAGCAATACATATGTTCTTGTATAATGTGAAAATTTTAATATCATTATAATGACCATTACTCAGGCTTTACAAAAATTTACTTCTTTCCCCAAATTATCACCAACGACTGCTTTTATTACAAAATAATTTATTGACATTATATACAAGAAAGTAAATATTTTCATTCAAATTCATGTGCAAGTAATTTCCCTGTAAACTGCTCTGTCAAAACCATGAAATTCACTCCCACAGAAAAATCATCATCTACTGTAGCTGCCTGTAATAACATGTCTGTACCATTTCCGATCCTTTTTTTCTCACCCTTCCACTTAAATATATCCTTACTGACACACATACAGTAAATGAGGCAAGAAATTATGACAGCTGCACTACATTGATGTTCCATAGAATCAAAATAGGCTCAAATCTTATGCTGTTTTTGTACTGTGAAACATTCCTCCATTTTCAGCTTATATTTTACTTCAACTTAAAATAATTTATGAATCAAATATGAATTAAAGCCGTAACTTCTTAATGTGCTCAGTGTATTTAAATAGCAGAGAGTTAAAATAATTCCTATTATTATGAAAATACAACTGTATATAATTGTATCTAGTCAAATGATTTTGCATTTTATTACAGCATATATTTTTGTAAGGAAAGTTTATTTTACCAATTACTGGACTAATTTTGAAGTAAAATCTCCCACTTGATCATCGAAGAAAGTTCACATGTATAGGTCATATGGAGACTTTCCAGCTTTACTGGTCAGGTACTGTACATTATTTCAGGCATGAATGGGCACCTGAGTAGAACCACTCACGTTCCAAGACCTAGCTGGATAGCTTCCTCACAAGAAAGAATTCAAAGTCTCTGACGGGATTTGAACCCACACACAACAGTGGGGGGCAAGTAGTTTGAAGTCAATGACTTTAACCACTTGGCCAGGGACATCCCTCACAATGTTATAAATGAGCATGGAGTGATAAGATAGAAACAACTTTATAGTTCAAAGAATAAAGCTTTAAATCTGCTGCAAAAATTAATAGCTGAATTTTTAAAAAATGCTTGTATGAAATAATTATGTTAGTAAAATTACCTTGAAAGTGAATGGAACATGCACAAAATCATTGATAAACTGATAAAACCTTACTTAAAATAGCAGAGAATAATTGGTTCCAGACCATTTTATTGTGTGTATGTGCAATATTCATGTCTGTTACAACAAGAGATATTGTATATTACAACTCTTTCGAGAATCAACCATTAGATTATGGAAGCAATATAAATTCATCGCTGATAAATTTATCAAAATATTTTTTGAGTATTAGTATGTCAATTAATGTTAAAACAGTCAAATGTGGTATTTGTTGTATTTTATGCCATAGAGTATAATATAAATATGTACAATCAGCAAACAGCAAACAACTGATAGCCTATAGTCACAGCTCTAGGCTCCTTTATGTGAATAGTTTAACAAAATTTTGCACATATATATTTTGAAGAAATGACAAAATTGGCACATAGGCATGCATCTTCTCATAATTATAGTTATATTTTCTCAAGTGTAACAATTCACAACAGGTAATTATTTCAGCAGGTGTGCTGCTGGAATCTGTTACAAACACCATGATAATTTGTGTATATCCCATATGGATTCAATCACCAGCTATAAATGAGTAAAGTAACACAAGCAATTTGTTAAATACCATAAATTCCAGACAAAATTATTTTCAAATCTAACCCCTTTGATTATAAACATGGTAAAAATCTCCCAAGATGATCAGGAAGTAAAATATATTCTGATAGTAGCATGGAATTATTTTTAGTTCTTCAAGGTTTTAGAGAGCAAATGCACTGAACAATGTTGACTATTAAATCTTTAAAATGATCATGCTCCTTAATGTTCATCTTCAGTTATTACTTATTGTCATGTACAGGTATGTTCAAAAAGTTTGTGGAATTTTTACTGCCATCTTTTTTCTTGGCTCATAAAAACAAACTTAGCTGATGTGAATAGAAAGGATGTTTTTATTTCTTTTCTATTTCATATCAGGATTAAAATGCGGGTTAAAGCAGCACACCTCCAGATTCATATCTATTTTCATAAAAATTTTGGAAATGTATTTAAAAGTAAAATATTAAGAGATGAACAAATAAAGCAATTTACATATTGCAATCAACACTAACAATTCAAGAAAATTACCACAAAGTGGTCAACATATGCAAAAACAGCCCTTACTGCGTTAGTAATGGAGTAGAAATATGGTGAAAAAATACTGCAAAAGCAGTCTTAAACCACATTTAACAAGTAACTTATCACTTGGATCTTGAATGTTTTTACCTTTTTTAAAATTTAAGTACATTTTTCTCAATATTGATTTTCATGAAATATTTTGGCCCATCTAGAGGAGAGTAGCTTTAAGATCTGAAAATGTTTAAAAGAGAGTACAAAATTGTTACATGATTGTGACACACTCAACACTGAAGAGAGTACACAACTGTTACATGATCATGACACACTCAACACTCAAGAGAGTACACAACTGTCACATGATTGTGACACACTCAACACTCAAGAGAGTACACAACTGTCACATGATCGTGACACACTCAACACTCAAGAGAGTACACAACTGTCACATGATCGTGACACACTCAACACTCAAGAGAGTACACAACTGTCACATGATCGTGACACATTCAACACTTAAGAGAGTACACAACTGTCACATGATCGTGACACATTCAACACTCAAGAGAGTATACAACTGTCACATGATCGTGAGACATTCAACACTAAAGAGAGTACACAACCGTTAAATGTTCTTGACACACTCAACACTCAAGAGAGTATACAACTGTTACATGGTCGTGACACATTCAACACTCAAGAGAGTATACAACTGTTACATGATCTTGACACACTCAACACTCAAGAGAGTACGCAACAGTTACATGATGGAGACACACTCAACACTCAAGAGAGTATACAACTGTTACATGATCGTGAGACATTCAACACTCAAGAGAGTACACAACTGTCACATGATCGTGACACACTCAACACTCAAGAGAGTACACAACCGTTACATGATGGTGACACATTCAACAATCAAGAGAGTAGTATACAACTGTTACATGATCTTGACACACTCAACACTCAAGAGAGTACGCAACAGTTACATGATGGAGACACACTCAACACTCAAGAGAGTAAACAACTGTTACATGATCGTGAGACATTCAACACTCAAGAGAGTACACAACTGTCACATGATCGTGACACACTCAACACTCAAGAGAGTACACAACCGTTACATGATGGTGACACATTCAACAATCAAGAGAGTATACAACTGTTACATGATCGTGACACACTCAACACTCAAGAGAGTATACAACTGTCACATGATTGTAAGACATTCAACACTCAAGAGAGTATACAATTGTTAAATGATCGTAAGACATTCAACACTCAAGAGAGTACACAATTGTCACATGATCGTGAGACATTCAACATTCAAGAGAGTACACAATTGTTACATGATCGTAAGACATTCAACACTCAAGAGAGTACACAATTGTTACATGATCGTGAGACATTCAACACTCAAGAGAGTACACAATTGTCACATGATCGTGAGACATTCAACACTCAAGAGAGTACACAATTGTTACATGATCGTGAGACATTCAACACTCAAGAGAGTACACAATTGTCACATGATCGTGAGACACTCAACACTCAAGAGAGTATACAACTGTTACATGATCATGACACACTCAAGAGAGTATACAACTGTCACATGGTCGTGACACACTCAACACTCAAGAGAGTACACAACTGTCACATGATTGTGACACACTCAACACTCAAGAGAGTACACAACTGTCACATGATCGTGACACACTCAACACTCAAGAGAGTACACAACTGTCACATGATCGTGACACATTCAACACTCAAGAGAGTAAACAACTGTTACATGATCGTGACACATTCAACACTTAAGAGAGTACACAACTGTCACATGATCGTGACACATTCAACACTCAAGAGAGTATACAACTGTCACATGATCGTGACACATTCAACACTCAAGAGAGTACACAACCGTTAAATGTTCTTGACACACTCAACACTCAAGAGAGTATACAACTGTTACATGATCGTGACACATTCAACACTCAAGAGAGTATACAACTGTTACATGATCTTGACACACTCAACACTCAAGAGAGTACACAACAGTTACATGATGGAGACACACTCAACACTCAAGAGAGTATACAACTGTCACATGATCGTGAGACATTCAACACTCAAGAGAGTACACAATTGTCACATGATTGTGACACACTCAACACTCAAGAGAGTACACAACTGTCACATGATCGTGACACACTCAACACTCAAGAGAGTACACAACTGTCACATGATCGTGGCACACTCAACACTCAAGAGAGTACACAACCGTTACATGATCGTGACACACTCAACACTCAAGAGAGTATACAACTGTCACATGATCGTGACACACTCAACACTCAAGAGAGTATACAACTGTCACATGATCGTGACACACTCAACACTCAAGAGAGTATACAACTGTTACATGATCGTGACACATACAACACTCAAGAGAGTATACAACTGTTACATGATCGTGAGACATTCAACACTCAAGAGAGTATACAACTGTCACATGATCGTGACACATTCAACACTCAAGAGAGTATACAACTGTCACATGATCGTGACACATTCAACACTCAAGAGAGTATACAACTGTCACATGATCGTGACACATTCAACACTCAAGAGAGTATACAACTGTTACATGATCGTGACACATTCAACACTCAAGAGAGTATACAACTGTTACATGATCGTGACACACTCAACACTCAAGAGAGTACGCAACAGTTACATGATCGTGACACACTCAACACTCAAGAGAGTATACAACTGTTACATGATTGTGACACACTCAACACTCAAGAGAGTACGCAACTGTTACATGATTGTGACACACTCAACACTCAAGAGAGTACACAACTGTTACATGATTGTGACACACTCAACACTCAAGAGAGTATACAACTGTTACATGATTGTGACACACTCAACACTCAAGAGAGTATACAACTGTTACATGATCGTGACACGCTCAACACTCAAGAGAGTACACAACTGTCACATGGTCGTGACACACTCAACACTCAAGAGAGTACACAACTGTCACATGATCTTGACACACTCAACACTCAAGAGAGTATACGACTGTCACATGATCGTGAGACATTCAACACTCAAGAGAGTATACAACTGTCACATGATCTTGACACACTCAACACTCAAGAGAGTACATAATGTACATTAAAAAAAAGGTTACATTTTTCATTTACATTACATTATTTTGAACATCATTTTGTTGTGTTATGAGCAGGTACCCCTTGTCATATGTTATTATCACAGAAATTGATATTTGTAAACATATTGTATTGATTTTTTCACATGTTTCAATATTTGTCTTACGCAAGTTCAAAAATGTGGACTGTAGGTCATGAACCAAAATGACCAAACCTTATATCACTTCACAAAAATGTGAAATTAATGTGAAATTTTTAGCTATTTATGTAATATTTTCTTTTTTTCTTTTTTTACTTTCCACCAACACTTCAAAGGGATTATAAAACAGACAAAATTTTCATTTCTTCATTTTTAATTTTTCATTCAATTATTCTGTAAATTTCCTGAAACTGAATACACTAGGCAGTCACAGGAACAAAACTTTTCTCCTTGTAGAGAATAAAATGGTGGTTTCCTAACTTGACCCACGTGGGTCAGGTCTAAGAGCATTAAGATTTAACAATACATTGTAGTTGTCACACTTTCCTTGGGAATGTCAAATAGACTTGTTTCAATCATAAAATATCCACAATATCTGTTATTGTAAATTCCAGGGTTTGTTCATATGACACAACTTGTTTTAATTTGAATTTACTTGGTGATTCTGTCGGTGTCTAAATTTTGTTCAACATATGTATAGATATATTTACGCTTCAAACCCAAAATATATAGAATTTATACAGAAATTCATGCTGGGACTTAATAATGGCAATTTTCCAGCTTTTCTTGTGGATCAGGAAGACCTCAATGCCCCTCAATGCATTATTTCAAGCATTAAAAACTCACTTTGATAAACTCTAAGAAAATGGACCTTACTAACAAAGTTTAAAATCGCAAAACATCAATGTTGCAAAAAGGGCATATTATAACTTTGCATTTAATAATTTTAGAATTATCTCCCCTCCTTAATGATAATTAATTTACAAAAATTGAAATTAATTGCTCAATAGTTTCAGAGAATATGAACTTTAATGAAAAGGTTAACCACTGCCAAAACTGATGCCAAACCCAACAATTGGCCCCTCTTATTGTTTCTGGAACATTTTGTGCTTTCTCCAGGAATTAGTTACAATAAAATGTAATTTAGTGATAAAAGGCATTAATTACTACTTGTATCTTGAGCAATTTTGTTATGAAATTATGATAATTTTATATTTTCATAAAGATATGTCAAACTTGCTTTAAGTGTAAGGCGTGATCAATTATTTGTAAGTGCATACTTAAAATGTGCAAGCAATATGTATAAATAGAATTAATACAAGTGTTATTAGTCATTTATTTTTGTGAGGTTAAATATATGAAGGATTTTTTCAATAAAAGAGAAAATGAGGAACATGAGTTTTTATACAGTTCTGTTACAATGTGCATTAGTTTTTAGTGTTTTGAAGTTTACAACTGCTAACCTAACTGTGGAAAATCTGTATTCTATGTTAGCTGGTAAAATACATGTGATAAATGATGAAATGTCCATGTTACGACAAATTCTAATGTCAACCAAGTCTGAACTGACATCAACCAAAGCTGACCTGATTTCAACACAGGCTAAACTAAAGTCCACACAAGCTGAAGTGGAGAACATAAAATTACAGTGTGGGCTTTCTACTAGAACCACCACAGATGTAAGTTCATAACTTTACAATATCTTTATACACAAATTTCACTGGAATCATCAGTTATTTATATAATTATGTTTCCAGTTGTTTTATCAATTTTTTAAACAGAAACATATTTATTGATGGGCCATTTATGAGCCCAATAAGATGTCAAAAACAAAATATCTTAACCACATCTATTGAAGCTTAAACAAACAAAATCAATGAATAAGAACCACTAAAAAAAAAAACAAAATAAAACACTGTTGATTTAAATCCATTTTAAAGCTAAACAATATAATATTTGTTTTGATTCCCATTAACAACAACTTGTAGTACTGTTGTTTTGAATCCAATTTACAACAACTACATGTAACAACACTGTTGTTTTGAGTCCCAATACAACATAAACATCTTTTACTTTAACCTGTACATGTACATTATCAAAAGTTAATCATCATTTTTCAAAATTAATTTGGTTAATTGCTCCACACCTAAATATCTACCTTGTATCATTTAAGCTTACAATATAATTTTGATTCTATTAATATTCAGCCAGTATCTTCGGTCAGGCGAACTAAAAACTCTACAACCACGTCACCAGAAGAGAAGACAACCACGTCACCAGAAGAGAAGACAACCACGTCACCAGAAGAGAAGACAACCACGTCACCAGAAGAGAAGACAACCACGTCACCAGAAGAGAAGACAACCACGTCACCAGAAGAGAAGACTTGTTGTCAAGTTGTTAAAACTGCCATCATGAGAATGAAAGTAGTCCAGAGACGGACAAAGCAAGACTTAGAAAACTTGTATGTATATATTAAATTAATCTAATCTTTAACCTTAACACTGCTGTAGTCTAAGTAAGGTTTTACCAGACTCTATACTGTTGTCTGACAAACTTAATATTTTCATCTTTGATATCCTCAAAGTTTATAATACACAACTGTTGTAAACATTAAAAGGTGTACTTGTCTATTTATGAAATTCAACAGGTTAAAGGTTAGTTAAATACTCATAATTATGTACATCATGCATTCAAATTAATATACAAATTTACTCAGATAATTAACATAAAAGTTCTTCCTGACATACATTGGTACCTGGAAGGATAATTAAAAACTACAAATATCAATTAAAGTAAATTGTTTAAACGTTTATGTAATCTATATTACAGTATGTGTATGTATATTATGTATGTGCTAGATATCTACACAAGAACAACAATCAGGAGAAAATAATTTACATGTATAAGTATTTAAGTTTTAATCATATAAGCCACATAATCTTTCACTCTATTGGTTTCGTGTAATGAATGTACATGTAGTTTACATCTAAACTTACACATGTGTTATTTACATGCAGAATTGAGAACAAAGTAGGTTCCTTGAATGAAGATATAGCAAGTAACACTAAAGGAATAAGGTCATTGGAATCTGATATAAATGAACTGGCTGTGGACTTTGTTGGTTTAAAGAACAACAGTGATAGAAACCTGGTGAAAACTGAACAAGGTGTAAAAGTGCTAACTGAAAAGATGACAAGTTACAACATGGCAATGAAGAAAGATATGACAATATTTAATGTTGATGTTAGTGTTTTAACTAAAAACTTAAACAACCTAACACAACAAGTGAGAAATGAGATGAAAGGAGAGTTAGAACAACTATCAAATGACTTCCATGTTTTATCCAACAATCATACAATACTTGCTGAGACAGTCAAAGACCAGACGTCAACCATCACCAAGATGATAAAAACTGAAATAGACAAGGCTGAACACTGCCAATCTGGAACAGTTACACTTTGGAAGCGTTATAGCCACAGTATTCCTTCTACAGTCACAATTGTATTCAAGAAACCATTTAAAAACAAGCCTGCATTTACCGTAGGAGCTTCAGCATTTGACTTTGATAGCAACACAAATTTAAGACTAACGCTTGATATACATGAATTATCTAGCACACAAGCAAAAGTGTATGTAAATGTATGGCATAAAACTATAGTCTATGGTGCTGGTTTTAACTGGATGGCTTGTCCAACTTAACTGTTAACAAACAATTATTCACACGCACTGAATATCGCGAAAAATAGATTTGCTAAATTTTACTTCAATATGATACTGGGAATTCTGTGGTTTCTGTAACTTCCTATTTTAAATTTGCTGACAGTCATATATGTTATATGTTGTGATACCTATATTTGGCTATATATCAATGTATCAAATACTAATATTTGATATTCTATGTTATTTTACATTAAATGTATTAAAAATACATGTACATCAAAAATCTTTAGTGACACAGTGAGCAAACATATATTTGTTTGTTGAACTGATTGTCCATTAAAATAAGATAATTCACATCTTGTATATAGGTATACAAACATAGGCAATATTAATAAGCTGAGACGACACTTTAAGTGTGAAATACTTACCTGTTAACATCAATAGGAAAGTTGAAAACAAACTTTCACTTATAAAAAAACAATCAATCTCAGACTTAAGAGTGGTCTGGCTTTGCTAGCATAAAAACACAAAAAAAAGAAGCATGTACAACAATGCTAAAATTAGATACATTATACGCAAAGATAACCTGATATAGGGAATGTATATGCTTATCATCATTTTTGTTATCATCATTTTTGTTATCATCACTGCTATGATATTTGACAATGACAATTTTTTTATTTGTATTTTTGCCTCAAGACCATGCATATTAACATACATGTACAAACACAACTTTTTATAAATTGTACATAACATGAGATATATACTCAGAGAATAAAGTTTAGTCAGTACGCAAACTTTTTAGTTTATATTTATTACACTACTTGTAAATAGTAAAAACAGTTACTCACAATAAAATTCATTTAATATCAAATACATCTTAACAATTTCAACAAAACAAACGTCATTTACTATGGATATTTCACGTAGGTGACAAAGTCAAAATTCTCAAAAATGTCAGTATCTCGTGTGTCCGCCTCTTGCCTGGATAACAGAGAAACAACGTTGCCTGATACTGTTAATGAGTCGTCTGATGACGCTTAAGGGTGTGTGCGCCCATTCCTCGTACAAGGCACGCTCGAGGTCATTAACGTTGTTGACATCTTCCATTCACGCAATCTACGGCCAAGATGGTCCCACATGTGCTAAATAGGTGACAGATCTGGTGATCTGGAAGGCCATTCGAGCGTGTTAATGTTGTTTGCTGCCAGGACGTTATGTGTGTAAAGAGCAGTATGACAACGTGCATGATCCTGCTAAAAAACGTCAGCATCACCGTTGTGTATGTAAGGTACAACAGCAGGCAGGATGATGTCAGCACAATAGCGCACGGCATTAAGGTATCCTCAAACAATTTTCAGTTCAGTTTTACCTTCATATGATATTCCGCCCAAGACCATGACACCTCCGCCACCATAACCGTCACATTCAACAACGTTGGCAGGATCTAGCCATTCACCACCACGACGCCATACGCGAACCCTACCATCGGCCCAAGTAAGGTTAAACTTGGATTCGTCAGTGAAGACAACTCTTTTCCTTCGTTGCCTTACCCAACGGCTGTGTCGACGTGCCCAATCAAAGCGTGCGACTTGGTGACGTTGCGTAAGGGGAACACCTTTGTATGGTCGTCGAGCTCGTAGTCTAGCGGCCCTGAGTCTGTTTCTGGCATTATAAATGGATATTCTGAGATACTGCACTAGTTTTGTCCCGGGCATTAAGCGGTGACGCGGGATGATGTCACTATGTACCTATCTTCCCTTGGTGTTGTTATGCACAGTCTCCCTGACCGTGGCCGATCATTAACACTGCCTGTCTGTCGTACACGCTGTTGCAGACGATAAATAGTCTGTTCATTGCAACCAAAATGACGTGTGACATTAGAAGCCATGCACCTCCTTCCAACAATCCCAACATGATATTCATATCATTTATAGACAAGCAAGGACGGCGCCCCATGTTATCCATCTCTGATTTTACACCGGTTTATTTAACTGACCACAATAAACTATCAATACTACACAATGTATGACAAAATGACCATGTGGCATACCCGAGCACGTGCACCTTGTGCATTTTCGAATATTGGTCAATACGGTACAACGATTATAGAGTTGGTGATAAAATTGTTACATACATAGCCGCCAAGTATTACCCTGGACGTATATGAAGTTAAACAGCGGGATATGTCATATTGTCAATTTGCGAGGCATACATAAATACTGACTAAACTTTTTCTTTTGAGTGTATATACAAATAATTGTTGAACCTCTTAATGTCATATACTAGTATGGTAAAACCCCTATATAAGTATCAATATTTGTAAAACCCATAATTATATAAGTATCAATATTTGTAAAACCCATATATAAGTATCAATATTTGTAACATCCATATATAAGTATCAATATTTCAACTAGGATACCATTGTCACCAACTGGTATTATACAGATGTCAGTTGCAATTTAGGACAAGTGTAATATATATATAATTAAAAGCCCCTCACACACAATTTGTTGGGCTAGTATTTCTATGCGCAAAATGATCAGGAGATGTAATAGGGCATTTTGGCATATATATATAAAGCTTGTAATAACCTAGCCCCATTTTATACATCTGAAATTTTGACTTTTTCAAGCAATGAAATTCACAATTTAAAGATCAGCATCACATAAAGACATAGTTATACCTAAACATCACTCAAACTATGGTAAAAAATACTTTTTGTTACAATGGTGCAAAGATTTGGAATAGAATACCTCTTAATATCCATCCTTCTAATTCTCTGACATCTTTTAAAAATAAGTATAAACAAGAACGTGTTTGTTAAACACAAATGCTCCGATTCTTGTCAGTAGCAATATTTCAAAAAATGTTTACCCATTCACTCAGTTATGGACAGAAATATTGCCAAAAAATTGTAAACACAAGTTATATAGCTTGACAGAGTCATGGCATTTTGTAATTATGAAATATATAAGTTGCTAAGTCATTGCTATGACTTGTGAAGTGATAAATATTCAACTTTATCAAATATATATAAATGTAAGAAATCTATACTTGGCACCCTTGACCTTGACCCACTGACGCCTATAGAATATCATGCAAGTTATCTTCCAACCAAATATGAAATACACCTGTCAATAAATAAAGGCTGTATGGGCAAAAATGTTAAAATCTATTTTGAGCATTGATGACCTTGTTCAAACTCACCCCTGACTCCATCCAAAGGAAGAATACCATGCAAGTTATCTTCCAACCAAATATGAAATAAATCTGTCAATAAATAAAGGCTGTATGGGCAAAAGTGTAAAAATCTATTTTTAGCACTCTCGTGACATCGACCAAACTGACCCCTAACTCCATACAAAGGTAGAATATCATGCAAGTTATCTTCCTACCAAATATGAAATATATCTGTCAATAAATACAGGCTGTATGGGCAAAAGTGTAAAAATCTATTTTTAGCACTAGTGACCTTGACACACTGATCCCTAACTCAATCAACAGAAAGAATACCATGCAAGTTATCTTACTATCAAATATGAAATACACCTGTCAATAAATAAAGCCTGTATGGGCGAAAGTGTAAAAATCTATTTTTAGCACAAGTGAGCTTGACCCACTGATCCCTATCCCAATCAAAAGGATGAATACCATGCAAGTTATCTTCCTACCAAATATGAAATATATCTGTCAATAAATAAAGGCTGAATGAGCAAAAGTGTGAAAATCTATTTATAGCACTGGTGACCTTGACCCAACTGACCACTAACTCATCCCTATCAATTACAAATGACATCTGTCTATAGAATATGGTTAATACACCTGTAAAATGTATTTTTAACATTGGTGACCTTGACATTGGTGACAATGACCTTGACCCAAATGACCCCTTTCTTTACCCAAAGAAGGAGGACCTCCCTTGGAATGTTTGTATTAAACATGAAAGACATCAACCAAAAAATAAAGGCTATATGAGCCAAAATGTTTAGATTTATTTTCTAAACCAGTGACCTTGACCTTTACCCTATAGACCACTTACTCCACAAAAAATTAGATGACCATTAAAGGTATCCACCTACCAAATATGCAAGATATCATTAAATAAATTAAGCAATTTTTAATAAGAGAAATTTACTATAAATCCAACTTGCCGGAATAGGTTAAGCAGACAAGGCCCTATTTTCAAAGTGAAAAAAGGGAAATAACTGGGAAATATGGATGACACAGTTATATAACTTGGCAATATCATGTACTTTGTATTGATAAGTAGGTGTGGAAATTATGAAGCCAACTTAAGATATTTCCAACTTGCCGTTTTAGGTTAACCATTATTCATTTTCTAAGTGCCATAAAGAGCAATAACTTGGTAAATATGAAAGCCAGAGTTATGTAACTTGACCAGATCATGTACTTTGTATTGATTTAGTAAGTGTGTAAACTTAGAAGCCATTGGTACATGTAGAACTTTAAAAAAATCCAACTTGCCGTTCTAGGTTAACCTCGTGGACGGTTCAATTACTATATGCCCGGGGGGGGGGGGGGCATAAAAACATATTTGCAGATGAATTACTCTGTCATTAAGTCATAATGTTATAATAATTATTATGCATGTATATTTTGTTAAACTATTTTCAAATGAAAATTGTATAAATATCTAAAAGGAGCAATTGTCAAAAAAAAGTTAAAAGTACAAAATCTAAATTGTATAATTTCCTAATTCAGTTTTATCCTAAAAGCGATTGATCCGAAATGAACTACAGTTTACCATCATGTTGGTCGGCCCACTTGTCCTCTCAGTGCTGTTAAAGGTGTATATTGTCAATGTATCTCCTATTGAAATTATTATTTTTGCGACTCCAATACCTGTTCAAAACCAACACGTCGAATGCACGTGCAACATTGGCTCAAAGGGGTACGGCTCATTGAATGTTCACAAAATATGTATTTGTGGTAGAAAAATTTTCCCAAGCAGAAAAGAATTCAATCATTCCCATTACATATATACAATATTAAATTCTTTTGGGGGTTGTTACCCTTGTCTTATTAGAAAAGTGTAAGGGAATGTATTGAATTCATTTTTACTTAGGGTAAATTTTTTTTCTACATCAAAAACAATTTGTGAACTTCAATGAGCCGTACCCCTTTGCATTGGCTATAAATATATCATCACACCAGGGAGTCTAAATTACATAGGGATGGGCTAATACCTCACAAAGTTCTTATTACCTGAAATTACTCAAAAATGAATGTACCAATCTCTCTTCTTTAGAACATCAATTTGTCGTTTTATTTTACGAACTATCCAAATTAATATATCTTATATATCAACTAGATATATGGCAGTTGGTGCATATGTCACAATGATAAACTCTCTCATTTTAATAAGTTTTAGACATATGCACTATCAAATGATTAAACACGTGAAAATCGTTCCATTAATACATGAAGATTAAATTTTGAAGCACAAAAGTGAAAAGGATACCGACTTTCTCTTTAAAATACAAGCAATTAATGGTTCATTGACAGAGCTAACAAATGTCTGCAGAGATTTTTTATGATTATATAGCATTACATGATCAGTTTTTTTTTGTTTTTTTTTTGTTTTTTTTTGTTTTTGTTTTTTTGTTTTTTTACCAAAATAAATGATGTTCCAGAAAAAGGTGGGGAAGGGCTAAAAACTGATACGTTGGATTTTCTCAGCGGAAGCCTACATGTACATTTTGTACTTCGTTACTATGTTTCTGCTCTACATGTTGTCCATGTAACTGTTATAATAAATAAATATTAAATAAATAACGGCTTACTATTTTGTTTATAAAGTTTCAGTAATCTAGTTTTAACACATCTCTCGTTATGCAAGATCCTCAAGTAGATTTAACCCTTTACCTCATATATACGCGAAACAACGCACTTTCGACCCCCCCCCCCTTTTAGGCCTGAAATAGTGAAAAAATGTCCTATTTGGGCCCAAACACATGTTTTCGTTTGAGAAATGTTGCTAAAAAAAGTGAGCACTTTTTCGGCGCCGCCCCCGTCCAAAAGATACATCAGTTTGGGGGTTTGAAACGGGGCGGAGTGCCCCTCATCGCCAAGAAAATTTTGGACTTGTGAGAGGCTTAAAATGACCCCAGGTCGATCATAAGGTAACGTGTAACCAACGCTGAAAAACCTTCGACTCTATCTCAATCCCTTGAGAAGTTGCAGCACTTTGAAATAAATTGTGATGGAAAAAATCGAGGCAAAATAGTGATTTTTGGCAATTTTGAGATGTCCCCTCCTTGCCATGGTAACAGGAAATTTAAGACTGAGCATGTCGTTACAAAGGCAATGGTCCAGTCAATATTTGTGCCAAGTTTGATTAGTATTAAAGCATTTTTCATAGTTTCATAGCAGTTTGAACTTGTAAGAGGAGGCTTTTCACTGAAAACGGCCATTTTTCACAATATGCTCATGAGGGAAAGGGTTAACTGAGTTTACTATTACAGCAATATTTTGAAATAGGAAATATCCGTAAGAATATGAACAGCTTTATCTTTTTTGTTTTTGTTTCCCTGACAATAATATTTGTTTAAGGTCATCATCCGCAGTTTAAATGCAAACACACGTATTCCTTTGGAGTGTCAGCAAAACCATAAGTGCACTTACAGTAGAATCACCATACAACGTATATACACTTAACACCCAGTAAAATTTACATAGGAAGGTATGCACGTATTCCGTCAGTTATATACAATACATTTAAATCAATCAGAAATTGCTAGCAAACGAAATGGTAGCCTTCATAGAAAAGAGGAGCCATGCATTACAAATTGATTTTGGCACAGATTATATGCATTATGTTATGCTAGCAACTTGTACAACAGTCAATGTTTACCATGATAATTAATATAATGATAATTTGTACATGCAATTAATTAATGATGTATTATTACAACAATATCTGCATATTTCCTGTTATATTGGCATAATGACAATCAAGAGAACTTGGCCACCTGTATGTTAAATACATACAATGATTTTTGTTTGTGTTAATTGGCTATCCGTGTCAATTTGTAAACGTCAATCAACACTGTCAACACGAGACATCATATAATTTCTAAATTCTCAGAAGCGTTTCTTCCCCCCCCCCCCCGAAACTGTATGAATATTCATTGGCCATAAAGCTTAACCATCTTTTGACTGATTTTGTCCGTTCGTAAATTTAAAGCGATTTCTAGGAATTTGCATGGAAGACAGTTAAACATTTTGTTTACGTTTCCTGCTTTTATGACAAATTATTTCGACAAACATGCTGTAAATCAATTTTTTTGTTCTTGTTGGTGAACTTATACCAGACCCAAATCTACAAATTTTGACTCGTGTTTGTTTGATTATGAAACGGCATGAAATGACTTGTTGGCATTGTTGACTCATAAAAATTGATTTTCCGTAAAGATGCCCTGACCAAGCTTTTTAACTTTAAAAAGAAAATGGCTTTATCATCGAATTAATTTATTTTTGTTCATTCACAATTTATGGATTTTATAAAAGGGTATTCTTTTTTCTGTCCTACACATTGTGCATTGGCAGTGAAATGTACATTATTAAAAAAAGTATTGAAATTGAACTTTAACTTATCAATTTTATATTAACAATTAACTCTTGCTTTAAATGTTGTACCGTTTGGGTCACTCCCTGCTACTGAACTTCAAAAGGAGATGTTTATTTAATTGTTGTATTCACGACCAAAGTGTTTATCTTCCTGTAACAATGTAATAATGAATGTCTGGCCACCATTGATTTCTCCTACAGACAATCAGAAAGTTCTTTACATCAGTATTATATAACTGATTGACAATTGTATTATTTTGTTACAACACGGACACCTGAAATACTAAATTGCGTATTTCCTTATAGAATGGTCGGATAAATGTTTATCAAGTGTGATATAATTCCACTGTCCAGTCATGATGGTACAATTACAATCATCAAATTTAAATCATGAAATAATATTACAAAAATATAATGGATTAATACCAGAAAAGTTGTTATCAAAAACAACGTGTCAGCTAATCATTCATAATGGTTGATAACTCTGATAAAGTGATTTATTCCTAAAACTCCTCCGCGAATAAACTGTAAACACAGGCAGTTTTTAATTGCATGCTTGGTAATACTCTAAGACTTTTGTTGCGAAGAAAATTTCATGCTAACTTTCAATATATCATATTTCATGCGTAAGCCATAATAAATTGTTTAGTTATATTTAGATATTTTTACTGTTAAAAAACAATGCATCAATGTTTAATTGAATAATATCACAT